TGGTTCGCAGTGATTTGGGTCTGTGTTCTCCTCACAGGTTGCAGGTGGACACGCAGAGCCTGTTTGGGTAAGACCAGGATGGAAGAGTCTAATGAGCACCTTCCCATCCAGAGTGACACCATCCTGCCCGAGTTGTGCTGTGATCACATCACCATAACAAACCCGTGAGTCTGTCTGGTGTGCTGTAAGGGTCGGTGGGTTGGGCTACTAATGCTGTTAAGATTAAAATATTTCCTCAGGAGCAAGTTTTTTCCTTTCTGTGTAACTGCCCTCAGACAAGAGATACCCTGATTCACAGCCTGTGACAAACACTCATAGTGCCATCTGAAAACAGCTGTTCTAGTAGTCACTTCAGTGTCTCTTTTGGGTTGTAGTCATTACTTTCATGTGCTGAGCAGAAGGATGTATGATTTGCAGAGGATTCTGTCCCGTTTAGGGGTTACATTGAGGGCAGTGTTTTCAAAACGAGTCATCAGATCCCTTTTGTCAAAGTCAGCCAGACTTTTCATGGAACACAGCACTCGGGCTGTTGAATTCTTTAGAAGTTTCTCTGTTTTAATGCCTCATGAAAATCTGGCCCTAACTGTGAATATGACTTTTCTTTGATAACACAACTCTGGTGTCCATAGTCTCTTTTTTTTTTTGCAACCTTTAGTACTTGCAATGCCTAACTATTATTTTTATATTTTCTTAGCTGCGTTTAATACTGTTCATTTCGTCACGGTTTTCTGCACATGCAAGTTGCAGTTTTATTATTTTAAAACCTCTCTTCTGTTCTACGAAATAAGATTGGCGACGTTAATGTGGAAACTGAGTAAATACAGTGGTGCCTGCCTTATTAGGCTGTGTGTTGTTCTGTTGCCAAAAATCCAGGAATATTTATACTCGCAGACTTTTATACTAGCCTGAGTTTGTGTCAGATTTAGAGCTCCGTTCTGCAGCTTTGGATGATTCAGGGGGAAAGAATTATTTTAAAACTACATTTCCAGTTTCTTGATGGAAATGTTTGTTTTCTAGGGTGGAAGTGCTGAGATCTTTGGTGGCTTTAAGTGACCCTCAGGAGGGGAAGCTGACTCAGTCTCAAGAGAAAGTGAGTGACTAACAGACTTTCCATGTCTGTTTACTGCATCATTTCAGAAGAACCTATAATTAGGTAGTTGAGCTTATTTTAAGAATATATTAGAACTGTTTCTATAATTCACGTTTTTGCAAGCTGAACTGAAGTGTGTGTTTGCCAACTCTGTTCTGATTGCCCTGCAGGCAGTAGTGTGATCATCAGCTGCTGCCCCAGTTCTGCACGGTTCCCTTCACACAGGTCTCAGAGTGAATCGGGTATCCCAGCCGCTACTGGAAGTGGGGGTTCAGATCAGACCATCTCCCTGACTGAGGGGCCAGCTCTTGCAGACCCTTGCTTGCACTCTCTCCTTTGTTTCCACGCGTAAGCATGTCATGTGTGATTAGTTTTCTTAATCCAGTGGGATTGTTTTCTTGAGCTGGCTCATTCTTGGTAATGACGTGAGAGCTTAAAGGCAAGGAAGAGGTGGAGCTTGTGCTTTATGTTACTTTAAAGCAATCCTGAAACTGCAGCCCTGATATTTTTGTGGCTTCTGCTGCCACTGACCTCAATCACTGGTAGTGCTCTTTATAACAGTCAGAACGTGATGGCTGTTGGGACAGGAAGTGAAGTGGCTGATGCAGTAAAGGATAGTAATGGCCAAAAGAAAGCACAAGAGATTAGGATGTGATTTGGTGGATTTACACAGTATAACAAATGCAGGGTGTAATTTGGAGAGGTCACTGCTTTCTCTGGGAAGATGTGTTAAGACCGTTATGGGATATTCAGATTTGCTCAAAAAATTTTTTCTCTTCTTTGAGTAATTGGACCTGCTGTAACCTTTAATGAAATTTGGTCTGCAACACTGTTTTTCATCACTTCATATTCCTGTATTGAGTCTTGTAAAAGCCTTTAATGTTAATGTGCATTCATTCCTTGAATAATACTTTTATTTCAAGCAGAATTGCTTGGGAATCCCCGAAGTAGAGCTTCCTGTGATATTGGAGTAATAATTATTTTGTGCAGCACAGAATGAGTCTCATACTTGGTTCTCATTTCACAGCTGAATTTTTATGCTCCTTTGTATTCTAGGCACTAAACTCGCTGGGCATTTGGAAAACCACATTTGCAGCTGTTCCTGGGCCTACATCAAAGACCTCAGTGGAGTGATAGCTGGAAGATGGGAGATCAGGATGCAGGTGAACCCTTTCTGGGGATAGTGGCTGGTGGTGCCACGGACTTCGAAGGAGCTCTGCCCTCAGACACCGTGTCGCTCAGCGATTCTGATTCCGATGACTTGGGGTTAGCAGATGAAGCGGAAGTTGATACAATATCTCCTGAGGAGCCATCTGTAGATGATGGGGATTACAGATCAAGGGAGACCCCCCAATCTTCAAACAGCACTCACAGATCTCCTGTCCAGCCCTTCCATCTCAGGGGCATGAGTTCTACGTTCTCTCTCCGTAGCCAGAGCATTTTTGATTGCCTGGAAGAGGCGGCCAAGTTGTCTGTGCCCTCGATGCCTGAAGATAATGTTGTTGATGGGAGGTTTAAACGTCCATTGCCTCCAGCCACAGTTTCAAGTAACATGGTTCCAGAAAGCCTGGGTAAGCAAGCCAAACCAGTGCAGGCTCCCAAAACCTCCCCTGCAGTGCCTGACTACGTGGCACACCCAGAGCGCTGGACCAAATACAGCCTAGAAGGAGTTTCAGAGTCGACTGACAAGACTAACAGGGCAGTGGCCATGGAATTTCTAGAGGGTTTGAAGAAAAGAGGGGAGGAACAAAGCTCAGCTACCCAAGATAGCTACACCCCATACTTCAACCAGGACCCTTCCAGCTGTGGAGCTGGGAGAATCGTCTTCACCAAGCCAATAAAAAGGGGTGTTGATGGACTGGAAAAGAAAACATCAGCAGGGGAGGATGAGAAGAAACACATGAAAACAGATCTGAAAGGAAAATCTAAGAAGACTGATGACTTGAGGGAAGAGGATAAGGTAGAGCTGGGGCACTTGGGTAGTGGAAGTGGAAAGGCCACAGAGGAGGAGGAGTGCATGATGGGGGACCTGAATACAGAAGGTAAGCTTAGTGCGGGGTTTAGTGGTGCAGGTGAAGAGCCATCGGTGGAAACAGTTGGATTCCATTGCAGTAAGAAGAAGAACAGGAAAAATTTCCGACCTAAAGTAGATGATGAAGGGGAGGAGGAACAGCACTGAAGGATGGAGCACATGGAGACATCCTTGTATTGTATTGTCTTTGGCTACGTTTGGTTTTTTTCTCTGACTTATTTTCTGGTCTGGAAACCTCGCGATAGCTTTTTGTCTAACAGTTTGCGTCGTAGCCACCCAAAACAATTTATATTGTTAGAAATTAAGCTCCACTGCAGACTTTTTGTTTGTGACAGGTCTGTGGGCACAGGATAGTTGCATCCTAGCAGGGACGAATTGATAAAGTGTGCTTTGTTTGCTTGAGCAGCTCCCTGGGGCTTGCTCTGCAGCTGAAATAGCCCCAAGCACCAAAGAAAGAGATGTGTTACCTAAAACGCTGCAAGGCTTCCTACTAACCCCGGGATTTAGAGATGTTCCCAAATCCTGTAGAATCCTGGAACAAAGATGATGAGCTGATTATGCAGAGATTTTTAAACAATGAAAATGAAACCTCCTCTTCCACTAGATGTGATTTCCCCTGTCCCTGGGAGGAAAACTTTTTTTTCTTTTTTTTTTAAGGTTGGCTTAATTTTTACCTTCTTTGGTGTTACATGTTTAAGATTTAAAAAAACACAGTGTTTTCTGTGGAGAGGCACAACTCTGGATACATCCTGGTGAAGACACTCAGGATGGCTTCAGCAAAGTCTTGCCATGTTGAGCCTAGAATTGACAAGAGCCTCAGTTATGTTGGGCAGCAGCTTTTCCTCTTACTGGTATGATACAATGATCTTGTCCTTGGTGATTCCTGGCCTGCGTGTTTGTATGTCCTTCCCAGGTGGCAGTGCTTCCACGTTGATGCTGGGTGTGATTTGGTGGGAATGAGGTATTTGTACCACAACTGAATACTTTTATTTTCTTTGGGACTCAATAAACTTTCCACTGTAGCTTGATTTCTTCATCTCTTTGAACCATGCTGATCAATGCAGCTGTAGGAGTTTTAACAAATACCCATTTTATTTGATTTGAGAATCGTCTCAAAAATCTTCTAGAATGTTACCCTAAGCTTACTCTTGTAACTTCTCCCTCAAGTCTTATATTTTAGATGCTAAAAATCACATTTTTAACATTTTCAATCATTTTACAATATCTAGAGAACCCCTCATAGGATGAATCACTGCATACAATGAAGCACATTGTAATGAATGTCAAATACAGGATTTTTTCACACAGAATGTTAATAAATTTTATAAATAAGGTTGAAAGATTAAATTATTTGAAAGGTTATATGATTTGAAACTCAAATTAGTTCAAGTCAGATTGGACTGACTTTTTTTTGCTAGTATTCTAAAGGAACCAACCCCAATGCTGGTATTTATAAGCATGTAGTGAAAGACTTCTTTAGAATTTATGCTCTTTTTTGCTAGACTGTGCTTGCTCCAACTCTGAAGGGTATTTGGGAGGTTGGTTCCTCTCTGGGGATGTCAGCATCTTCTCAATAATTGACTGTCAGGCCTAAATCATTTGGGTCTTTGTGTTGGAACAGATGTATCATTTGGCAGCAGAAGCAGAAAACAATGGCAAATTAGTAATGTTGAAATTCATCCTTTAATTTTAAAAGCAGAGTGGATTTTCTTATGAGTATACAGCTTGATGCATGTTAATTAATGGGTCATTACTAAGTACATCACTTGTTCCAGTGCATGTGAGTGGGACATAACAACAATTCCAAATTGATTTTGGTTTCCAGTGACTAATTAATGTGCTGATCACTTACTGGTTTTATAACTTCTGCTTGCCCGGGGTGAAGAACAGAACAGGTAGGATAGTACCAAAATTCCATCACCGATAATGGAGTTGCTGAGGTGTGGGGCACAGCTGAATAAACTGGAAAAATGCCTATTTTGTTGAAGACATATTAGATTAATATCTATTAATAAAAGGCTCGTGTTGGAAAGGTATTTTTTTTATCAGATCTGAGATTTTTTTTTCTGCCTCTGGTAACAGAGAAAGCTGTGCAACTCACATTCATGTTGCATAGAAGCCATGAGGAAATTAAGTTCAGTTGAAGCTTATCAGTGTAAGAAAGAGCACAACCCAATTCTTCCCCCTTCTGATGCTGTTTATGTCATTCCAAAGAAATTTCCTTTTAAAGGACAGTAGTAAAATTAATTTTATTGGTGTATCTTTTCATACAAAATTTTAATAAGGGCAGCTAGCTTTTGAATGCTAAAAACTTACGTTAAGTAATGAAAAAAATGGCATGCAGTCCAAATTTCTAGTTTGTAGGAAAATTCTTGTTAAACATTCTTGCTTTAAAATCTCTAAGTGATTTTATTTTTTTTTCCTGACCTTTGAGAGAGAAAAGTAAAATGAAATCAGAAAACTACTTAGGTATAGATGTGGTGTTCCACGTGGTGTGATACATAAAGGCAAAGCCTCCTTTAGTAGCAGCAAGCTGACAGCAGCTGTGATCTGGCATTAAAAAAGCACGGGCAGAGGCTGGGGGTCTGACTGCGGGAGGGGAGGGTCACCTGCTTTGTGTTTGGGAAGTGACTGAAAGCCACCACACACCTGAGGACTGCACAATGAGATTCCAGCTTCTGAGGATGAGTGAGGATCCCTCAGGAAGGAATACTGGCAAAGGAATACATCACAGAAGCCAGCGTGGGAAGAGAAGGTGAGTGCAATTGTTTGAGGGTTGTAAGAACTCCAGGAACTCTATGGATTGTAATAGTTCAGTATCCCAGACCCTTTCCTGTGGAAACTATTTCTTGATTTCCTTTCAAAGCTACTCAAAAATACAAGCTTGCTTTCTTGGCCAAGGAAGTGGCTTGTTTTTTAGTGTGTAAATGATCACTCTTCAGAAGGGAGACTCCCTTGAACAGAGAAATGTGGAAATGAGCAGTGATGACGTTGGGTTGAGGGTGTGGTATTGGGAGAACAGAAGGCAGATCCTATTTGCAAAAGCAGGTAGAGTCATCCTGGAGGAGAAAGTTTGTAGTGTGATTTGTGGAATGGAGTTTTGGAGAAAGGACCAAGCGATAGAGGAGCAGGAGGGAAGAAAGGCCAAGAAATTGAAGGAGGAAGACCAAGAAATCCTCAGTAGTGTCAAACACAGACATAAAGGCTTTGAGAGCTGGGCCTCAGGCCTTCCTGAGACTGGGATTCTGCTTCTGCAGTAGCTCAGTACAACAAAAGGTTTAATCTGAAGAAATGAGAGTAGAGTTTAATTATCAATGTATGTGATGTCCGACTCGGACTGATCTGCACGCTCTTCTCTGTCACTTCTTTCTGGCAAAGGCACTTCTGTGTCGACATTCATCACACCTAATGGGATTGTAAAAGTGATGTGCTTGTTTAAAAGCCTTAGGACAAGGCACATAATAGTAATTACTTAAGAAACTTTAAAATGTTGGAAATAATCCACAGTAAAAAGATAGTGTAGATTCTACTACCTTGCATTTCCTCAGTAAATGATAAAACCAGGTTTCTTTATTTTTCAGCTATTTAAGTTTCTGATTTGGATGCAGTTACAGTACTGAAATGTCTGGGGAACACGCTACAGGATGTTTTTCCTTACTAGAATGTTGATAATAAAGCAATTTACAATTATGTAAATTTATGTGTTTTATAAGCTTCTAACAGAATTAAGTCAAGTTTGAGGTTAGTTTAAGTCAGAGTGATTGGAGGTCTTGTTATAACTGCTGAGTTTCCAGCTACTTTTTTTTCCCATATAGTATATATACGTTCAGTTTTTGGAGAGCTCGTGTAATAGGCAGTAATAGGTAATGAAACAGATCATTTAGAAGAAGATCCAAACTCTTCATTGTGTTGGATATCCTGTGGTGGGTGAGAAGTAGGCTCTTTCTGTCTCCAGTGTTTTAAACTCCAAACAGGAGCCCTGGGACACAGGACAAGATTCTTAACTGACAGAAGTAGTTGCAGCTCTGAAGGCCAATTAGCTGTGTTGATTAAAACAAAGTGGGAGGCTTGCTCAATTGTTTTTTTTAATGACCATTGTTAGCCATATTAAATGTTTTGGTAATACTCATTGACTCAAGAAACTCCCCAAGACACGATCCTCTCGAGAAACCCCCGTGGCAGATACTTATTTATGTGCTTAAAGCTGAGTGACATCATTCTAACTCACACTGAGTGATAGTCCTTTCCAAAAGCTTTTAATCATCCTTTGCAAAAGGTAATTTTTTCATTCTGAAGTCTGAATGTTCTGTTCCTTGTTTATATTCCCATTACCTCCAGCCACACTCCTTTGCACCTCCTTATGTGGTTCTCTTCCAGTTTTTATTTTCTTGCATTTTTAACTGAATTGTTCAGCTGTATTAATTAGCTTTTCCATGATTGTTTTCAATCCTTACCTGTATAGTTTGGAGCTGGTTGAATGCACAAGAGGTTGGTTTTGGTTAAAACATCTGCCATTGAGGAGATAACAGTTGTACAGTAGCAAATCTACAAAATAGGTAGTGATTTCTATGTCAGCTAGTTTTTGTAGTACTTTATCCATTCTTAAATGGGCAGGAAAGATAATCTAGCAGCAGACTGAAGTGACATCTGAGTTTTTTGGGGGTTTTTTTAAAGAAAAAGTTGAACTGTCTTGGAGGAAGATTTGTATTAAATACCTTCACTTTTTTTGTGAGTATATTGCTTTATCTCAAGCCGGCACAAACTTATTAAAGCATTTCTTGCGTGTTCCTGTTGAACCTGTATTTGGTGTCAACATTGTTCATTGAATAGCATGACTTTTTTCAGGAAGCCATAAAATGGATAAGAAAGGGGAGGGAAACTGCAATGGGAGTATTAAGATAAGGAACTTTCAGTGAGGCCAAAATTACCCTGGAGAGTTCTAGGGACAAAGGAAACAGTAACGCTCGTGCTATGTAGCACATAGTAATGCTGAACATTTTCAGACTGTTTAAAAAAAATGTTTGTTTATATTTCAAGGGTTTGTCATCAGAAGCTCAATATAGGGTTTCCTTCTATTATTTATGTTTCACATTTGTATGTTAGACACTTCCCTTTGAGATGTTGGTATCTGGCATGTCAGAAACTTA